ATATAATATATATATATATATATACATATATGGTCGCCCCCCCCCCCTGGTATCATACCATTCGCCGTTCTGCGAACGGCGACTGCGAACGGCGAATGATATGATACCAGAGGGGGGGGGAGAGGAGTAGGGGGGAGAGGAGTAGGCGGAGCAGACGGAGGAAGGTGTTCTTTCCTTTTTTCCCCCTCCCCGCCCTCGGAGGCGGAGTTATTTTCCTCTTTTCCCCTGTGAAAACACAGGTTTTTTCCTATGTTTCCTCTTTTTCGATCTTGAGAATCTCTGCGTGGCGGCGCTCCTGACGACACGCGTGCCCTCTGCTGCAGAGGAGCTCCCGCACGCCAGTCGCCGCGCACGCCCTCTGCGCGCCGACGGGCGTCGCAAAACGCGCGCCCTGCCCGCCGCTGCGACGGCATGCAAGAAAACCCAAGTGGGGGCAGTGATAGGGGGTGCACGGTTTCCCCCGGGGCCGTAGGCGACCCGAGGAGGAGGAGGAGGAGGAGAGCGAGGAGGAGGAGGAGGAGGAGGAGGTGGAGGAGAGAGGAGGAGGTGGAGGAGGAAAGCGGAGGGGGAGGGGGAGGAGGAGGAGGAGGAGGAGGAGGAGAAGGAGGAGGAGGAGGAGGAGAAGACGGAGGAGGAGGAGGAGGAGGAGGAGAGGAGGAGGAGGAGGAGGAGGAGGAGGAGGAGGGGGAGGGGGACGGGTCGCCTAAGCCCATCGGAGAAGCCCTCCAATAGGGGGGGGCTGGCATAGGGGGGGGGGGGATGCATCGACCTGCAATCGGCGACACCCCGCCGATAGAAAAGGCGATGGCCCCCCGATGGTGCATCCGCACCTCCCGGGGCAGGTCGGGGCTGTCGGGCCCCCTTCGGCGATCCATGGGCGATTGGGGGTCGATGCATCCGCCCCTGTGCCTATCCCCCCCCCTGTCGTTGCCCCCGACTAAGACCAATCAAATGCACCATCACAGTACAGTCATCGGCCTGACCTAAGGAACGATAAATAAGGAACGAAGCCCCTTTTTAATCCCAAGGAATAACGCATAAGGAACGATAAATAACAAATAACGCATAAGGAACTGCAAATAACGCATGTAAACCTAAGGAACGACCGAGCCCCTCTTGAAAAGTAGGGGTTCCTTATGCAAGCCGCTCACAATATCCGGTGATCAGGGCCTGCGGGGCGAGGGCGCGAGCACCCTTTCCAGGAGCGCCTGCGGCCGCCGGCGGCGGAGAGGCTCGGGGCGCCAGGGGCAGGCTGGCACCCTTCACGAGCGTCTCCCCCCGCTGGCCGCGGCTCCATGCATCAAGCAGGGGATCGACTACAGAATAGATTTACTCCGGCATGGATTTTCTCGTGGCGTCCGCGAGACATGCGCAACATGTCCGTAGGTCTACGGACATCGATCGCATGTATCATGGATCCGACGGGAAGACACATGTTTGAGCAAACCGATTCTGCTCATCTACAGAGATGATTTACCCCGTATTTGAATCTCTCGTCGCGTACATGACACATGCATAGATCGTCTGGACATATAGTCATCGATGTTCTCGTATATTCGACCAGAAGACACATGTTGGGGCAAACCGATTCGGCTCGACTACAGAAATGTTTTACCCCGTACTTGTTTTTCTCGTCGCAACCATGAGGAACGCATAGAATGTCCAAAGATCTACAGACATGTAGTTATAGATCTTCTCGTGGATTTGACGAGAAGACACAAGTTGGGGCAACCCGACACCGCTCGACTACCGAATGAGTTCACCCCGTATTCGATTTTCTCGTCGCGGCCATGAGACATGCATAGAGTGTCCAAATATCGGCGGACATGTAGTTGTCGACGTTCTCGTGGGTTCGACGAGAAGACACAATTTGGGGCAAATCGATTCTGCTCGACTGCAGAGTTGATTTACCCCGTACTTGTTTTTCGCGTCGCGTCCATAAGAATTGCATAAAGTGCCCAAAGATCGTCCAGACATGTAGTTATCGATTTCCTCGTGCATTCGACGAGAAGACACATGTTGGGGCAAACCGACTCTGCTCGACTACAGAATGGTTTTACCCCGTGTTTGATTTTCCCATCGCGTCCATGGGAAATGAATAGAATGTAAAAAAATCGTCCGGACATGTAGTTATCGATTTCCTCGTGGACTCGACGAGAAGACACATGTTGGGGCAAGCCGATTCTGCTCGACTACAGGATGGGTTTACCCCGTCTTAAAGTTTCCCGACACGTCCATGAGAAAACCATAGAATGCCCAAATGTCTACGGACACAATAGTTATCGATTTCCCCGTGGATTCGACAAGAAGACACATGCTGGGGCAAACCGATTCTGCTCACCTACAGAATGGGTTTACCCCGTATCTGATGTTCTCGTCGCGTCCATAAAAACTGCATACAGTGTCCGAAGATATACGGACATGTGGTCTCGATGTCCTCGGGGATTCGACGAGAAGACACATGTTGGGGCAAACAGATTTTGCTCGACTGCAGAATGAGTATACCCCGTATTTGATTTGCTCGTCGCGGCCTTGAGACGTGCACAGAATGTCCGATCTACGGACATGTAGTTATCGATTGTCTCGTGGATTCGACGACAAGACACATGTTGGGGCAAACCGATTCTGCTCGACTACCGAATGAGTTCACCCCGTATTCGATTTTCTCGTCGCGGCCATGAGACACGCATAGAACGTCCAAGAATATACGGACATGTAGTTCACGACTTTCTCGCGAATTCGACGAGAGGCCACATGTTGGGGCAAACCGATTCAGCTCGACTACAGACCCGTTTTTTCCCGCGCCCATGAACATATAGTTACCGACTTTCTCGTGGACTCGATGAGAAGACACATGTTGGGAAAAAGGAATTCTGCTCGACTACAAAATGGGTTTATCCCGTATCTAATTTTCTCGTCACGTCCATGAAAATTGTATACAATGTCCAAACATATATGGACATGTGGTTGTCGATGTTCTCGTGGGTTCGACGAGAAGACACAAGTTGAGGCAAACCGACTTTTCTTTACTACAGAATGAGTTTACCCCGTTGTTGATTTTCTCGCTGCGTCCGGGGGGGGGGAAACGCATATAATGTCCAAGGACATACGGAGATGTAGTTACCAAATTTCTCGCGGGCTCGACAAAAAGACACATGCTGTGGCAGACCGATTCTGCTCGCCTACAGAATGGGTTTACCCCGTATTTGATGTTCTCGTCGCGTCCATGAAAATGAGTGAAGTGTCCAAAGATCGTCTGGACATGTAGTTATCGATCTTCTCGTGGACCCGACGAGAAGACACATGTTGGGGCAAACCGATTCTGCTCGAATACAGAATGGGTTTACCCCGTGTTTGATTTTCTCGTCGCGTCCATGAGGATTGCATAGAATGTCCTCGAAGAAAAGACACATGATGGGGCAAACCGACCCTGCCGTGGACCCCCTAGTCGAACGCAGCCGCGCCGCGGTCCCCAGTCCCCAGGCACGTGCTGCAGCTCACGCGGGGCCTCGACCGCGGGCCGCGACACCCGCCGCCCCCAGGGGCCCGCAGGAGACGGCAGCCCGCACGGCGCCTCCAGCAGGCCTTCCCGCCGCAGAAAGACTGGCTTCTGGCAGGCCTCCCCGCCGCAGGGCCTGGACCCTGAGATCCTGGCGCCCCCATTGTTTCGAGCCGGGCGTGTTCGCCTGGGCGCGGGCCCCAGGACCCTCACAGATCGATCCGGCTCGAAAAACACCGCAGAAATATGGGGCTTAAGGTTCTGGGCCCGATTGCTCACCACGTTAATTTTCCCAACCATCCTGTCCATACTGCACCCCGCGTCTTCCTTTTCCCTCCTTTCTCCTCCCCCTGCTCCCCCCTCCCATGCGTGCCTCTGCTTTCTCGCATGCCCATTCCGGCACACCCATCACACGATTCGTGGCCCCATAGGGAGCTCCAAAAAACGCCCCAGAGACAGCGTCCGCATGCGCGCACCCCGCCCACCGCATGCCCATTTCGGCACACCACTCACACGGTTCGTGGCCCCATGGGGGGCTCCACCGCAGGCCCCAGGGGCAGTGCCCACACGCGCCCAAACCGCCCGCCGCATGCAAATTTCGGCACACCCCTCACACGGCTCGCGGCCCCATAGAAAGCTGCACCGGAGGCCCCAAGGGCAGCGAGCGTCTGTATGCGCCCACCCCGCCCACCGCATGCCCCTTTCGATGCACCCCTCGCACGGTTCGTGGCCCCATGGGGAGCTCCACAAAAAGCCCCAATGGCAACGTCCGCATGCGCCCACTCCGCCCCCCGCATTCCGGCACACCCCTCACACGGCTCGTGGCGTCATAGGGAGCTCCACCAAAAGCCACAAAGGCAAGGTTCACATGCGCCCACCCCCCCGCCGTATGTCCATTTGGGCATACCACTCACACGGCTCGTGGCCCGTAGGGAGCTCCACCAAAGGCCACAAAACGCAAAGTCCACATGCGCCCACCCCGCCCGCCGCATGTCCATTTCGGCACCCCGCCCCCACACAGTTCGTGGCCCCATAGGGGAGCTCCACCAAAGGCCACAAAGACAAAATTCACATGAGCCCACCCCGCCCGCCGCATGTCCATTTCGGCACCCCCCCACACGGTTCGTGGCCCCATAGCGGAGCTCCACCAAATGCTACAAAGGCAAAGTTCACTTGCGCTCACCCCGTCCGCCGCATGCCCATGTCGGCACCCCCCTCACACAGTTCGTGGCCCCATGGGGAGTTTCACCAAAGGCCCCAGTGGTAGCGCCCACGCGCCCACCCCGCTCGCCGCATGCCAATTTCGGCACCCCCCTTACACAGCTCGTAGCCCCGTAGGGACTGGGCCGAAGGCCCAGGGCCACCAGAGGGGTTGAGGAAGCAGCTGGAGCAGATCGCGGCGCGCACTAAGCGGTGCAGGAGGAAGCGACGGTCCCGCCAGAGAGCTAGGGTTCACCGAGTTGATCCGTGAGGCAGGAACTGGGGACCTGGCCCGCCCGAGCAGCGCCTTCTCCCGATTGTTCAACCGTTTGGCCTAGCGCCGCGGGGGACCCGCGCGCGTCGCTGGAATCTTCTCGAGCGCGCGTCGCAGGAACTCCGTGCTGCGCTCTGCCCGGCGCCTCGCTCGACCGTCGTCGCTGTGTCCAGCGGCTGGAGCCTTGCCCGCTATCAGCCAGCCAGCTCTCTTTGCTCCGCGCCACCGGCGACCCGCGCGCGTCGCTGGGACCTCTTCGGGCCGACCCGCGCGCGTCGCGGGGTCTCCGCGCCGCGCTGCGCCCGCGGCCTTGGACTATGGAGTGCGCGGGCGAGGAGGGGGAAAACAGGAAAGGGCCATCTTGGACGGTCAATCTTTTCTCGCGCCCCCCCATCGAACGTATCACGGACAGAGGAAGCCGCGCCGAAGGCCCATAGGGAGCTTCACCGAAAGCCCCAGTGGCAGCGCCCGAGTGCCATCCAACTGTGGCACATCCGTCACGCGCTTCGTGGCCACAGAGGGAACTTCACCGAAGACGATACTCACGACTGCGGTATTCACAGCTGCATATGGTTGGGTTCCTCGCTAGGCTAATTTTCGTTACGTCGGATTTCAGGGCCCGGAAGGGTGTCCAGGTTCGATATTATCCCTGGGGGCCGCTTCAAAACCCCAGGGCCATCCAGGCCCCAGGACCGTCAAAACGACGCCAAAATATGTGGCCTAGAACTCCGGGCGTTATCTTTCACGATGTTCTCATTTTTTCGCTGCGCCGAATCTCAGGGGAGTCTCTCCCGCGCCTTCCTGGCTGGGCCGGGGCAGTAGGAAAGAAACGGGGGTGAAAATGCCTCCTCCTCCTCCTCCTCCTCCTCCTCCTCCTCCCTCCTCCCCTCCTCCTCCTCCTCCTTCTCCTGCTCCTGCCTCCTCCTCCTCCTCATCCTGCTCCTCCTCCTCATCCTCCTCCTCCTCCTCCCTCCTCCTGCTCCTCTCCTCCTCCTCCTCCTCCTCCTCCTCCTCCTCCTCCTCCTCCTCCTCCTCCTCCCGCACAGCCGACAGGGCCAGGCGCGCGAGCAGGGCCCGAGGCGCACGGGCCCACGGAGCCGCACCTTGAAGTGGCCCGCGCGGGCACCGTCACGAGGCCGAATCTCGCCACGAGCGCCATGTCACGCCTGGCTCCACCTCCGCCTCCCCGTCCGTCCTCCCTCGCCGCGCCGTCGCGGCAGGCCTGGCCACTTGCGCCTTCGCGCACCTGGCGATCGCCTGCGGATTCGCGGGGCTGATCGGGGCCTGATGCCTGCTGCACTCGCGGTGCAGGTAGAATGCAAAGCTGCCTCCGCCTCCCCGTCCCTCTCACCCTCCTCCTCCTCATGCGGCTCCTCCCCCTGCTCGTCCCACTTCTCCTCCTTCTGCTTCGTCGTGGTCCGCGTCCTCGCCTTCAGGGTCGGCGGCACCGGCCGTAAGGCCTTCGCAACAGCCCGCGCATGCACCGCCATGAAGCCAAATCTCGCGACGAGCGCCAGGTGACGCCTGATGGAAACAAAAATCGGGGATCGGCAGAGCCCCCTTGAGCAAACCGTGGCTCTGTGAAGACGACCTCGGGCCCAGACCTGGCGGGCGCAAGCCTGGAAAATGACGGCCGCGGCGCCCTCTCGAGCGCCGAAGACGGACAATTCGCTGATCGACGTGTCACGGTGGGGGTTCTGTCCCCCAACGAAAAAAAAAACATGATTATCCAACGGGAGGCGTAGGCGAAGGAGGAGGACGGAAAGGAGCAGACAGCGAGGGAACAAGACAGGCATAAACAACAGAGATGGACCAGACCGCTGGGCGCCAGCACTCGCCAGCAGACCGAAAAGAAAGGTGCCCCCAGCTGGGTCCTCCTCCGGGCGGGCCAGGGGCAGGGCTTGAACAAATGCAGACCCTTTGGCCTCATCCACCTCCTCGTCGTCACCCTCCTCCTCCTGCCTCCTCCGCCTCCTCCCTCCTGCTCCTCCTCCTCCTCCTCCTCCTCCTCCTCCTCCTCCTCCTCCTCCTCCTCCTCCTTCTGCTCCTCCTCCTCCTCCTCCTCTGCCCCCTCCGCGCCGACAGGATGAATGGGGAGAGCACGGGCGGCCCGGCGAGGGCAGCCGGGGCGCGCGCGCCGCCTTGTAGTACTTCACGCCGTCCGCCTCCCCGAACTTGCCCTTCGCCTGGCTGGCCGAGGGTTCGGGCGGACCTGTCCACCTGCAGGGGGGTTGTGGACGAAAAGTTGTTTTATATATATATATATATATATATATATATATATATATATATATATTCAAAGCAAATCGAAGAAATAATAATAATAATACCAAAAAAATCGCTTCCAGGCTATATCTTGACTATTTTCGAATCCCCCTCCTGCAGAGGCACAGGCCCTTCGCCCGGTGGGCCGAGGGGCGGGGCGCCGGCGAGGGCCGGCGGCGCGCGCCAGGGGGGTGGAGGGAGGGGGGAGGGCGTCTTGGAAGGAGGCTGCTTCGAGGGCGCGGGGCGCCGGGGCGCCGCTGCG